ACTTTTTTTACTTTTTACGAAAAAATGTGAAATATGGGTTGGGTTTGAAGTGATGTGGTAGAGAGGTGATGTGACTTAAATAAGATGATTATGACCTAAATAGGATAATGTGTTAAAATAGCACATTTAGCACATGCCAAACAACCACTTAGGTTCATATTAAGGACAGAACATCTCAAACTTGCCGAAGTTTGATGTAGACATCCATGACCAATGTCATCGTGTTTAGCTTGTCTAAATAGAATAGTTATGGCTTAACCTTAATACACTGACAATACTAATTACTTCGGCTTTTCGTACAAACTAGCCAAATCATGGTTGGTTTCATCTTGTTTCTCGTTAAAACATCCCTTTAAACTTAATTCAGCTTTGCCACCTTGACAAGCCTAAATTAAACGTCTTGTTCCTCTTTAGAACATTACATCGGCTTAATAGTTTCTATCTTACCTAACATATGAATTCCAATAACATTTTTCCAAGAACAAATTACATCTAAAAATAGAAAGAAAGAAAGAAATAAAACTAATAGAAGAAAAATGTAGGTGTTCCATGGTTTTGGAAATTCCTTGTCGTCACTGTCCTCTAGCCAATATGCTCCGTTGTCGGCAATCAAGATGATCTTATATGGACCTTCCCAGTTTGGGCCAAGTTTACCCTCTCTAGGATCCTTCTTGTTGTCAACAACTTTCCCCAAGACCTTCTTGTTGCTGACAACTTTCCTCAAGACAAAGTCTCCCACTTGGAATTCTCTAGGGTTTACCTTTTCATTGTAAGCTCTAGCTAACCTTTGCTGGTATGTCCCTAGCCAAATTGTTGCTCGCTCTTTTCTTTCTTCTATTAGATCAAGATCTCAAGCTAGAAAGGCCTCGTTTGTTCCATTCTCTACTACCTAAGTTCTGACTCCATGTATGCCAATCTTTAATGGTATAACAGTCTCAGTGCCATAAGCCATGGCAAAAGGCGATTCTCTGGTAGATTTTCTCAGTGTGGTGCAATATGCCTATAGAACATTAGGCAATTCCTCAACCCACTTGCCTTTGGTAGCTTTCAACCTCTTCTTTATGCATCCATGATGGTTTTGTTTGATGCCTTGGCTTGACCATTTTTTTTAGGGAAGCTAGGAGTTGAATAATAGTTCTTGATCTTGTATTTTACACAAAAATTCTTGATCAACCTATTGTCAAACTGGAAGCCATTGTCTGTCATAATAGCTCTAAGGATTCCAAATCTGGTGATAATAATATTTTCCAAGATGAAGTTTTTTATGTCCACATCTCAAATTTTGGCCAATGGTTTGGCCTCCACCCATTTTGTGAAGTAATTTGTGCCCACTAAGAGAAACTTTCTCTAGCCAGTTGCCTTGGGCAGTTGCCCAATCAAATCTATACCCTACTGGGCAAGTGGCCAAGGGCTAGATACCGGATTCAAATCCCCTGCTGGCTGATGTATCAGAGGTGCAAATTTTTGGCACTTATCACACTTTTGAACATAGGCTTCAAGGTCTTTTTGCATATAAGGCCACCAGTATCCTTGTGATATAACTCTGTAACAAAGAGATCTGCCCTCTGCATGGTTTCCACAAACTCCTTCATGAATCTCAAATAAAAAGTATTCAACTTGGGAAGGGTGCACATATTGCAATAGTGGTCCGGTGAAGGACCTTCCATAAAGGTGGCCTTCTGTTGACAAGCAGAATCTTACCAACCTGAGTTTGATCTTGTGTGCCTCCTTCTTGTCTTCTAGCAACCTACGATCTCTGATAATTTTGACGAAGGCATCCATCAAGCTTGGGCATAACTCTATGCACATTGCCTCATATTTTGTTATCAGGGGCTCAACGCTTGGGCTTGACAAATAGTCCACCATAATGGTTCTTGGAGAGTTTGACTTTATGGATAAGGCTAGGTTTACTAGTGCATCTGTATGACTGTTGTCTTCTCGGCAGACTTGCTGAAGCCAACAACTCTTGAACTATGCTAACAACTTGATGACCTCTTTGACATATTCCACCATTCTCTCATCTTGGGTGATGTATTCGTCCGTTGCTTGGTTCACGATAAGTTAGGAATCACAATAGACTACCACCTCATTGGCTTCTACTGTTGCAGTTAGCTTCAACCTAACAATCACTGCCTTATATTCCGCTTCATTGTTTGAAGCCTTGAACCCTAATATGATCAATTGTTCCAATATCTGCCCATTTGGTGAAATTAATACAACTCTTACCCTCACTCCCAACCGATTTGAGTTGTTATCGACAAAAAGACGGAAGGACCGATGTAAATATTGCTTGGTCAATTCTTCTCAACTTTTTTCTTATGGGCTTTCTTGTCTTTTGTTGGCTTAGGGTTCTGTACTGCCAACTGTGTTTCTTCTGGTTCCTCCTTGCATCCTAGGTCGAGGTTCACAAGCCCAGGCCTTGAGCTTGCATTCAATGTGAACTCAGCAACAAAGTCGGCTAGTACCTGGCCTTTAATTGTTGTCCTTGGTCTGTATTCTACGTTGTATTGACCTAGAACAATAGCACATTGTGCTATTCTTTTAGACAAATTTCCATGTTAGAATAGAGACTTCAGCAGGTGCTCTGTGAGCACCACCATCTTATAAGCTTGAAAGTAATGGTTCAACTTCTTTGAAGCCATCACTAGAGCAAGCATCAATTTTTCTAGAGGTAAGTACCTTGTCTCCGCACTTGCCAAGGTCTTGCTCACATAATAAACTACCTTATGCTCACCTTCCTCTTCTCGAATATCTACTGCACTGACTGCGTGGCCTGAGACTACCAAGTATATGAAAAGCTTTTCTCCCGGAATTAGGGTTAACAACAGGGGTGGACAAGTCAAATACTTCTTCAAGTTGGCCAAGGTGACTTTGCATGCCTTCGTCCACGCAAAATCTAGGGCCTTTTTCAATAATTGAAAGAATGGTCTACACTTATTTGAACTTTGGCTTATAAATTTGTTCAATGTCGCTGCTTTGCCGATCAACATTTGGACCTTTTTTTGCTATTGCCAAGCTTTTTAGATCAATGATGGTTTTGATCTGATTAGGGCTTGTTTCAATCCCCCTTCTAGTTACCAGATACCCCAAACTTACCAAATCCTACCCCAAAGGCACACTTGGAGGCATTCAGTTGAAGTCGATATGCCTTCAAGATGTCAAACACCTCCTTCAGGTTGGCTAGATGATCAGAAGGTTCTTTACTTTTCACGACCATATCATTGATGTAGACTCCCATGGTCTTCCCAATCAGATGCTTGAACATCTTGGTTATGAGTCTTTAGTATGTTGCTTCTATATTCTTCAATCCAAAGGGCATGACTCTATAGTAGTAGAGTCCCTTTGGAGTGATGAATTCCTTTTTCTCTTCGTCTGGTACAAATATGGCTATCTAGTAATAACCTCTGTATGCATCTAGTAAGCTCATCCTCCCATGTCTCGAAGTGGCGTCCACCAGCTGGTCTATCTTGGGTAAAAGGAAGCAGTCTTTCGGGCAAGCCTTGTTCAGGCTTATGAAGTCCACACAAACCCTCAATTTCCCGTTATTCTTTTTGACCACTATTATGTTGGCCAGCCAGGTCGTGTAATGCACTTCTTGGATTGCTTGCGTTACCAACAATTTCTCTACTTCTTCCTCTATAGCTTCCATATGGACCAAAGAAGGTCTTTTGGCTCTCTGAATTACAAATTTAGTCGACCTGTCCACGTTGAGCGAATGGCAGGGGACCTTGAGGCTTTCCCAGCATCTTGTATGGTGTCCAGGCGAATACCTCTATGTTCTGACTCAAAAAGGTCTCTAGCTCCTGTTCCTCCTCTTCAGCTAAACTAGTGCCAAGGAGAAAGCATCGCTCTTCATCTCCTTCTTTTACCAGAATCTTTTTCAAAGATTCTTGACTCTCGTTAGCAGGTTCTTTGCCGACATTTTCCAGGACCTCTTGGTCTTTGTCTTTCATTTCAGCTGTCATTGCTTCTCTAATGTTACAGGTATACTTCATTGCTGCCATGGAGTAGTTCTTTGCTTGAACTTGATCTCCTCTGATTTCTTCAATCCCAAACTCCGTTGGAAACCGTAGTAGCTGATGTAATGTTAAGGGCACAACTTTCATGGCATGCAGCCAAAGTCTTCTGAAGATAATGTTGTATGGAGAAGACATATCAATCACGGTAAATTTCGTCGCTATGGTCTTTGTCCCTACCTGAATCTCTAAACACGTGGTTCCTGGAGGCCACGTCAGCACTCTGTTAAATCTGACCATGGGGCTATCGGATTACTCCAAGTTATCCTTGTGAAGGCCGAGCTCTTTGCAACATCTGACGTATATGATGTCACAAGAGCTGACTTGGTCAATAAGTATCTGTTTTACCTAGGACTCCCTAATCTTCAATGTCACCACCAAAGCATCGTTGTGTGGATGTTGGACCACCTCTAAGTATTCGTCCGTAAAGGCGATCGTCGGTCGCCGACTTTCTTTCGTTTAGGGCTTCTTTTGTTTAACTTGGAAGACATGTTTTAGATATCTCACTCTTTGCATTTTTCCTTAGATTTTGTTCGCACTGACCTTGGAGTTGATAACCAGTGGTCCATTTGCTTATGGCACTAGGAGTGGTGGTAGTGGTGGTGCTGTCGGCGCCTGGGCTAGTTTTGCCTATTCCTCCCTCGTCTTTTCCTTATCTACCAAGTCCCTCAGGTGTCCTTACCTAACAAGATCCTTTAGATATTGTCAGAGCCCAACATCCTTGCGTCATGTGCCCTTGCTCTTCGTGGTAAGCACAATTCTTCGTGGGGAATCTGCCTATGAACTCCCTTTGGGTTTTCTGTGGAGGCCTAAAATAAGGCTGATTTCTAATTCTTTCCAAGATCCTATAGATCAGGATCTTGAAGACTATGCTCACGATCTACATAGCCTTCAACCCCAGCTCCGATTTTCCTACTTAACTGTGCCGGCTCTTCCTTGGTTACATTTTAGTGAACCATTTTGATTCTCCTACTTAACTATGCCTCATTTCTTTGATTTCTTGTCATCCTCTTCGCATGCATACTTTTCAATCCTTGCCATTAGATCCTCCATGCTTTTTGGAAGGGTCTTTGCAAGAGATTGTTGAAGTAGACAGTCATCCTCTAAGTCGTTCTTAAAGGAAACGACTGCTAGCTCCTGGTTACATGTCGAAATCCAGTTATAAAGCTCGTAAAACCTCTTGGCGTAAGCCCTAAGGCTTTGCATCATCAATCTTCAATGCCAATAAGGAATCAACCCTTAAAGGCTGAAATCTGTTTGTAACAAACCTGGCCACAAACATCTCGGCCCAGCCTTCCCACCTCTTGATTAATCCCTTCAGCAACTTTAGGAACCAATCTGATGTTATTTCCCCAAATGTTGACGGGAACACCTTACACAATAACTGTTCATTTCCACTCCACATGGACATTGCATTTAGGTATAAACCAACATAGAAGTTAGGGTCGGACTTACTGTCGTATATCTGGAACTTCAGCATGTTGAATCTCTTGGGTGCTTTGAACTCGTCTAGTTCCACCGAAAATGGCGACCTTGGTTGCACGGTGAACGTAACATTGGCATTGTTCCTTTTTCTTTGGAGGTAATCCCGCAAGACCTCATTCGTTCGTCCGAGTGCTTGGCTATCGAATGACTTCAACATCTTCGGTGTGTTGTTTCTCGTATTGGGATACATCCTCTTGGATTTTTCAACATCCACTACCTCATCAGGACAAGGGCCCTGTCTATTAATCTGCCGAGATCCCCTGATTTGTGTCTCTCTTATTCTTTGAGAATCTGTTTTTCGTGACTTTGTTCATCTTGTGTTCTATGATTGATTTGAATTCACAGGTGTCTTTTTGTGCTGAGGAATGGTTGGCACTGTTGTGCTTGGTGTTGCTGGTAACGGCGTTGTCCCTAACTCTCACTTCTTTTTTGGTATTGGCCATCTATTTTTACTAAGTTTCCACAGACGGTGCCATATTATTGGTGTTGATTTTCGACCTCACAACCAAATAAATTTCTCTACTGGGATCTAGAAAACTTAGCTGGAGAGCACACGGTAGAAAATATTAAGCCCAAACACCTACGCACAAGAGAGTAAGAAATACCACAGTGGTTTGTCTAGCTGGGGGCACTCCGAAAATCAAGTCAGTAAACAATCTCACAAAATATCAAATAAATCACTCGCAAAGAAAAGCATACCTTAGACCCACGACAGGGCCTTACTATTATAATCAACAGTACCCTCGTCCTTTAGAAGTATCACTTCATAGGACTCAAGCATAACACTTATCCCAGACTCTTATCTAGATAAGAATGATCCAACTTAAGAGCCTTATCTTTATCCAAACAGAGCGGCTAAACTTACCAAGGACTTTTGTCCTCTATTCGACAATCTCGGATTTTGATATTAATGTACTATATCTCAGTGTCACGACCCCATTCCGCCCCAAAATAGGATAATGGTCATGACCGTCTAGTAGTGTCAAACTACCAAAGGCCTAACAAGACAAAACGAGGTTGGACAAAAACTTTGGGGTTTATGCGGAATTACATCATTGTCCATTAATTATTAAGAGTCCATCTAGAGCCTGTGCATAGATTATATGATACAAGCAAACAACTTTATTTATTTATATATGACATTTACAAGTTCAAGATCTAAAAAGAAAGTACAATATCTACAAATATACAACCAACAAAAGCCAAAACTCGAAGACAAGGTCTTCGTCTGAAAGATTTGATTCCCAAAAGTAGAAAAACAAAAGAAAAAGACTTCTAGTTTGGTCTCTCATCCACAACAGGATCCTTTCCATCACCTACATAAATATATGGGAGAGGGCTGAACTAAAGGTTAGTGAATAGCAACATAGTAAAGTGGTTAATTAATGAACACCAATGAACTTTATTTAAAACCAAGCACAATATAATTTTGAACATAATACATTTTTCATATGACAATAAAACCGAACTTGCAAGCATATACATAGCGATGACATTCTCAAAGCATTTCAGAATGGAACATAATCTACAACATATGGCTAAAGAGCTTAGTTAGCAAAAGATTATTGGCTTGATTCCCAATAACTAGCAGATGTCAAGAAGTCATCTTAACACATGATACAAAAATATAGGATGTTCATTCATGACAAAACATAATATCATGGCTTTCATAAACATACCATACATTTGCATTTTGAATCATAAATTTTAGGAACATAATTTTACTATACTATCACTCACAATTGGCTTTGCGAACAAGGGTTTAATCATCCTCAAGCTTAACTTATACAAAACAAGAACAAAACACTTAAGCATTGAACAATCCTCAAATTTCCTATATCAATTATCATGCAATTAATCTTTAATCTTTTTCTTTTTATATTCAAGCGTGTTTCAAGCGTGTTTCTAATTATGTCCTCCTTGCGTTTAGGTGCCAAAACATGCCTAAAAGTGTCTCGAGAAATATAGAAAAACAAGTGGAATAGGATGTGAAAATGTGTTGAGACAAGTCAGTCTGCTCGAGCGATTACTTCACCACTCGAGCGGTTGCAGCTTGTTTTTCGTGCTCCTTTCGGATACGGTTAGCCCTACAGTTCGGACTCCCATGATTTTGAATCTGATTTCACAAATGCAATGTGAAATAGATGAACACAAATGTGTCCAAATTCGACAAATCTTTTGAAAAATCGATGTTTGAATCAAAATGCCAAAAATGGACTACTTTTCCATATTTTAGAGTCGCCACTTAAATATTTTTTAAAAATTTAGGAAACTCGTGACTCGTTCCAAAGGCTACTTATCTATCATCACTAAAGTGTATTGGCTTGGGAACTTACGTATGAGAGGGGAAAGTCATGAATTGAGCACCTCACTCACTTGATCAAAGATCGACCTCTACTAATCATGATGTGATTCTTATTTATGTTATATGCTCTTGTTCTGATTATTAGGCTAATTTTACTACATGTTTCACACAAGTATAAACTAATTGCTCAATTTGGAACGCTTTTATTTTATGTTTATTTTGAAAAGTGTTTGAATATGTACCTCTTGAAAAAGTGATGTCATATGTACATTTAATCAAATTATCCCAACTCAAGCTATTAGTCTTCATCCATAGGCATTTAAGAGATATATCACTTAAGCACTTAGCCTTATGGTAAACATGCTTGATATGGCAACACGAACATACATGTAATAAGCTAAAGCAAGAAATGCTTACCTAGTACTTCGAGGCAAGCCAAAAGAAATAAAACAATTAGAAAAATGCATGCCCCAATATGCAAGTGACTAATGCAACACATACAAAATGAAACTATCGAATTCGGCTTCCTTACATGGCATGTAAGTCAATTCAAGGCATGCGTAAAGCACGCATTCAATTAAGGAATTTGAAATTAACATTGATTAGTATGATGAGCCGAAACCTTATGTATGCAAGACGAATGGATACAAATCATGAAAAATGCTAAGCGAAACATGATGTTCTATACTGCTCTATACTATCCATCATAAGCAAGTAAATGAAAGGGAGAAAGAAATAGGGGTTGGAAGACATACACATTATTACAATTTGCCCTCACACAATAGGGTTCGAGTAAATGTCCTAATACTAATTATTACGACATCAAATGGTTAATTAACTAATGCTTCCTAACTAATTATTACAAATCCAACTAATGAGCTAAATTAACTAAGTATGACAAGTTTGAAGGAATCTAATTAATTAAATTACAACATATTACTACCAAAGCATTAAACCAAAGGAATGAAAAGCGAGGAAATGCATGTGCATGAATTCTAATTTTCGCCCAAAAACCTCTCTGTTTTACTACTAGAACCATCATGTTTGGCAGGCAGAAAAAAAAGGAAAAAAAAAAAAGAATCCGTTTGAACCCCAGCCTCGGCTCTATTTTACAAAAAAGAGGACACTGCTGGGCTAAAAGAAGTGGTCGACCGGCCATGAAAAGGTGGTCGGCCGGTTGATTGGTGGTTAGTCGGCCACTGTTTTGAGGGTCTGCCCTACTGCAACAGAAAAGAAACAAAACACAAATAGAGTATTTTTAGGGGATGTTTGTCCATCATGCCTTTTCTTATCATCAAATAGATCAAATGAGGGATAGGCTTGATCCGCAAACCATCAATCGACACAAATTCATTATGTGATGATTCATGAATCAAGGGATACAATCTCAAAAAAATGACAATGAAAGACCAACAAAATCCTCTCCCTATCATGATATTGATTAAGGGAAGTGGTTGACGTTGAACCTTGAACCATTTTCATCACTAATAAGTATGAAATGACGCAAGATTCAAGAGGTTCAATTAACGTCTGGTTGAACCCAAGTTAATTTTATTATCTTGGTCCATTTTAGTCCAATTTTATTGCCTCTTTTACTTACCTTTCCATTCATTGGTCATTTAAGTCCAAAAATGATAGTTAAGTCTACTAAATGGAAAAGAATGTCAAACAAGAAGTTGTTTTGGGCATGAGAAAGAGGTAATGCCCTGGTAATGAACCTCTGAGGAGATTAAACCATTTAGCATTGAATGGTCTCTTTCTCAAGCTTAAACAACACTCGGTTGAAACAATTCTCAAAGAAATAAAAAAAGAAGCTAAGAAAGGAGGGAGAGTGCAGAGGTGATTAGGGGTGAACACAGGTATGAAAAGGATGAAATAAATGCTATCAACTCAAATAGGTTGGTATCTAAGGCCTAAAATACCAAACCTGTGAGGACTATTACACTACAAGCCTACTATACAAAACATGAATGAAATAAACACATAAAAATAGTCCTAAAATAAGCTAAAATGGTGTTGGAATTGAGTTGAAAAAGCTAAAAAAGATAAGCTAAAATAGGAGAGAAATAAAGCTAGTAAGCAAGCGAAAGGAGGGGTGGCTAACCCCTTGATTTTTGGGACTTCAAAACAACATTTTTAGGCTCTAAAAACCTCTAAAAATCAGTGTAAAAAAGTTAGAAAAAAGTTGAGAAAGAGATGGGAAATACAAAGGCAAAAGCTAGAAAAAACAAGGTTTAAGGTTTAAAGAAGGGTAGTTAACCCCTTTACCTTAGATAGCTTTAAACCACAAGTTTCAACCCATAAAAATAGTATAAAAACAGTTCAAAAATAGCAAAAAAAGATAGAAGAGAAGTAGTGTAGAGATGCTCAAAATTATACCTCTTGAAGCAAGGTAATTGTTTTGTTAACAAATCCACAAGTTCTCACTCTTAAGGGCTGAGATTTGAGCTCAAGAACCTTAGCAAGAAGAGCTAAATTTTTGGTTTAGAAAGTGTAGAGAGAGATAGTGTGTAGGTTGCAAGATAGAGAGAGAGAGAGTGTTCTACAAGTTTTTGGCCTTTAGGAATTTTTCTAACCTTTATTTCAAGAGAGGTGGTCATGTATATACAGAAAAACAAGAGCCTCTATCAAATACAACTGTATAGAGACAGCTGGCGTAGTGCATGCACTTGGGGGGACAGTTGGCAGCAAAATATCTGTCAGTCGGAAAACATGGTTGGCCGGCCATGAAGTGGACAATTGACCACTAAATTCTAGCCTGCAGGCCACCTGTTGACCTGCAGGCCTCTAGGTGGTCAGGTATGAAACAAACAGGTTTTTGGAAACCAATACAGATTTGGTGCAAAGATGAT